GGAACAACAGTGATGAACTGACCACAACCCCTGTTCTCTTGTTTCCCCCCTGTGCCACTCAGGGAGCAGGGAGGAGGGAGAGAAGGGAGGGGTGGGGGGAAGGTGTTTTAAGATGTGGTTTTATTTCTCATTACTCCTGTCTGTGTTAATTGGTAATAAATTTCATTTTCCTGAAGTCGAGTCTGTTTTGCCTGTGACAGTAAATGTTGAGTGACCTCCCTGTCCTTATCTCAATCCCACAAGCCTGTTATTTTTTTTCCTCTTCTGTGTCCAGTTGAGGAGGAGGAGTGATAGAGTGGCTTTGGTGGGCACCTGGCATCTCGCCGGCGTCAGCCCACTGCAAGTCCGCAGTTTGGGAGATGGTGTTTCTTCAGGTACTAGAGCTCCTGTGGCCATGTTCAGCTGGAATGACATAGATGGGGTCCACTCCATCCTTTCCAGCTTCCTTCCTTTTCTTTCTTCTTCCACTTAGCAAACTGTAATATATAACACGTGGATTTCCCCAAACAGATGTCCCTACAGTTGGCATCAGACCATAGCTCTCATTTCTTCATGACTTTTCTGCACCCGTGTCAGTGTCCATGATGTTTTGCTTTGGTCCTTATTACGTGCTCTTCGCCCCTCCTTGTACGTGACTGGTGAGCTCGCTCAATCAGCAGCAGCAGGGGTGGTTTGGTGATAGTGAGAGCAAATCTCTGACCATACTGCCCTGACTGATCCAGAAATAATCCACTGATCTTTCTTGCATCTTTGGTGGAAGAATTCACTTCATCCACAGTGTGTGACACCAGTTTACAACTGGTGGTAGATATGTGTGTGTAACTCACGCTGGCCACACTGCTTTGGAAGAGGTCCAGGTCCTCTGACTTCTGCAGTGTTGCTGTAGGAGTGGTGTGTACTTGCAATACAGTGCCAAACACTGGTAAGTGATGTTTCTTTCCTGTTATGAGAAGGTTTGACACATGCACTACTTTTACTGAGCTTTCTTAATTAATGCCTTTTTCTTCTTTTTTTTTAAAGCAAATGAAGAAACACCCATGTCGACAATGTGACAAATCTTTCAGTTCATCCCATAGTTTGTGTCGTCACAATCGTATCAAGCACAAAGGCATTAGGAAGGTGTATACATGCTCGTAAGTAGAACTTTGGTTTATTTAGAAACAGAGTATAAACCAACAAAAAACTTTGTTAGTTGAATTTCTTTTCTTGATTGTATAAAAGCTAGTGTCCCGTTCGTTCAAATGAATCCGTTATTCAGATACATAGACAGGGCAAACTGTTTTGGCTATCCTGCATGCATAAAACATAGCAGGCTGCTGAAAATGCACGTACATAAAGTCTGCTGTCTTTCAGGGGCTTTGGCAAGCAAATCTGAAAGTTCACTGAGCCGAGACTTGGCGTGGCTGGTAGTTCTACAGTGGTGAACTTGGTTTTCAGTAGTCTTTCAAATGCATAAACCACTCTTATTCGTAGGGGTTTTCTCATACATGAGACAGTGTCCAATGTCTAAAAATCCTTAGTGATGTTGAAGTGGCTGGAGAGTCGATACATAATTCAATAGAAAAATCCATGTCAAACAGATAAGATCTATAATACAAACTTCCTGTTGTACCTCTCCACTCATGGTTTTGTATGTAGTTGCATGCTGTGAGCCGAGTTTGAAGGTCTGAAAAGGAAGCTGCGAGCTGCAGCCGTTCTCTGTGGCTGAGAACTTACAGTCCTTTCTCTGCCTAGTATGATCTTTGCTTTGGGATGGACAGCATAAAGCCCAGTGGTGTGGAGACTCCCATGCAGGGCATAGCATTCCAACAAAGTGCTTGCTTCCTGACCTCCCGTCTCCCTGCACCGTGGTTGCTGACACAACCCATGCATCAGATTCTTTCTAATACGCCTAATATCTAATACACCTAATAATCTAATACATCTGATTCATTTGTACTTCAGCCTGCATGAGCTGGCTAGCCTAGACACTGTTTCTCTTGGTATATGACAAGTAGTAAGTGCCTGGTTTCTGCATACCCCTTGAGCAGAAAGCTTCTTGTGTTTCTGTCTTTTCATTTCAGAATGCCTACAGTACTGTCTATTTTTCTTTTTTTTTTTTTTTTTGATAAAGTTAAATGAAACAGCATTTTAAAAGCTAAAACCATAGGAGAGAGACTTGGAAAGGGAGAATTGTGGTTTAAGCTCTCCCCTGCAGTTCTTGTTTGGCCATCCCTCCTAGGAACACCTGTACATACGTTACAACATTGGAGCTCTGGAGAAATACCCTTACCAAAGCACGAGAGGTTTAGAAGTGATGCAGTGGTCCTGTGTGGGAGAGCAAAGTGCAGATTGTGAAAGACAACTTTGTCCTGCTGGTTAGTTTGAGGTTGGAAAGGGAGCTGAGAAGGAATTACTAGTTCCAAGGAGATAAAATATTTGGCTTCGAATGCAGTCTGAAGTGGCATTTGGAGCTAGCATTCATCCTACATGGAAGGTGATCGCTTTCCCTATGAAATTCAAATTGAGGAGAACTTGAGGAAGTGTCTAATAAAATGGACAGTTTGGTGATGTTAGCAGAAGTCCAAGAAACAAAGACGGATGCTCCCAGGTTTTATTTTGACTCACACTTTATACTGTTCTGGATATTATTTTCAGAGAACTTTTAATTTACTCTGAATATAAATTGCTCAAACATTTCTATTTTTATTTTGTAATTATGCTCACTTTCTTAATACTTACCTGTGCAATTGATTGGAAAAACATTGTCGCTGTTTTCAAGAGATTGTACTCTGGTCTGTATTTATTACTAGTCCTGTTTATATTCTTTACAGTACTACAGCTTTGATAAGCATGACCTTTGAGTCTGTGCATGTCTGCTTTGTGTTTATGTAGGCACTGCCCAGATTCAAGACGTACTTTTACCAAGCGGTTGATGTTGGAAAAACATATTCAGTTGATGCATGGCATTAAAGACCCTGATGTGAAAGAGATGACTGAATCAACCAATATGGAAGAAAGGGAAGTAAAAGAAGACACAAAGGTAATCACTTAGAAGATTCATTCAGTCACTGAGAGTGAATTTTTTGTGGGTATACATTCAGGATCTTTAAATGGATGCAAGTATTTTGATTCCGTAAATGTCTGATTTTCTGTGGAGCCCAAAAAATCTCTCAAAGGTTTCTGCAACAAATACTGTCATGCTTGAACTAGAATGCATTTTTGGAAAGACTTCCTGTTTGGTTTGATCACTGAATGATGGAGAGTGTAACTTACCCCTTGGCGGTTTAAGAGCACCTTTCAAAACCTCTGCAATCAAGTCCTTAGTCCTCTCATAGCTGTAGAAGGGCTACAGGTTACATAGAAGCAATGTGACCTTCTTCCAAATACCCAACCTTGAGCTTATCAGACACAAATTTGCAGTGAAACAGCTTTCAGTTGGATGATTGAAATCGAGCAGGATCACCTGCTGTACGTGGCCTCACCGTGAGCACTGCGTGCCCTGCTGGACCCCACCGCTTAAGAATGGTGTGAAGGCCCTCGAGTGTGTCCAGAGAGGGGCAACGAAGCTGGCGAAGGGCTGGAGGGCATGTCCTGTGAGGAGCGGCTGAGCGCTCTGGGCCGTCTCCTCTGGAGAGGAGGAGGCTGAGGGGCGACCTCGTTGGTCTCTGCAGCTTCCTGAGGAGGGGACGTGGAGAGGGAGGCGCTGAGCTCTTCTCCCGGGATCCAGGGACAGGACGCCTGGGAAGGGCTCAGAGCTGCGCCAGGGCAGGTTCAGGCCCTTAACAACGTGCTGTGACTTTGTCAGCCCTGGGGGGGTCAGGCAGTTGGGCTGGGTGATCGCTGTGGGACCTTCCAGCTGCCCTATGCTATTCTAGTCTTCTGTTGATAATGAGTGTCAGGAGGAAAGCACAAATAAGATGACGGCGCTGTTCAGACTTGTTACATGCAGCCGTCAACAGCATTTTTTAAGTATTCTGGGCTCTATATGATAAAGAATTTCACCTGTGATGGCATATCCAAAGCTGACAGCAGAGACACAAACATAATCTGTTTTTAAAAGGTATTGTTGTCTTTTACGTGGCTCTCTTTCAGCCCACCGTATTATCTTCTTATTTAAGTGTTGAAAATATGGCAGCTGTATACGTTGTCTTCATAAACATCACGGAGCATGACTGAGCCACATTGGATGCAGAGGATTCTTGAGGAACGTTCGTGTCAGAAGAATAACAAGAATATAAAAAAAATACCAGTTTAATTAGTTTAAAAAACAGTACATGTTGATTCATCCTTTGGCAATATGTTAGTTTGGGTACTAGCAAGCAGAAGATAATCTGTCAAGTAAAATGTCAGTCATGAAATAGTATTAAGTAATTAAAATGGAGTTCCAGAAGGTAGTGCTGTAAAGTTCCTAGGCTGATACTCTACATTCTGTACGCAGTTGAAGTCACACTGGCAAATATTTATTCAAGTTTATATGGTGTATTAGACACTCTAGCTCTGTCAGAGCTGACAAAACAAATTTTATGTGCAATTTATAGCAAAGAAATCCCCTAGTTTTCCAACATGTACAACATATACTTGCTTGTATTATTTCAGATACTGTGTTTATCAAAGTTGTACCGGAATCTAACAAAGGAAAGCTTTTCAAGTTTGCAAGTCACAACTAGTTATGAAAAGAACTGTGTGTTTATGCTTACGTGATGTACTGTTTATGGCTTTTGTTTAGGTTCCTAGTCCGAAGCGTAAACTGGAAGAACCCGTGCTGGAGTTCAGGCCTCCTCGAGGTGCAATCACTCAGCCATTGAAGAAGCTAAAGATAAATGTTTTCAAAGTTCACAAGTGTGCTGTTTGTGGCTTTACAACAGAAAACCTTCTCCAGTTTCATGAACATATTCCTCAGCATAAATCGGATGGCTCTTCGTACCAGTGCAGGGAGTGTGGACTCTGCTACACATCTCACGTGTCCCTCTCCAGACATCTCTTCATTGTGCATAAGCTGAAGGAACCTCAGCCAGTATCAAAACAAAATGGATCTGGGGAGGATAATCAGCAAGAAAATAAACCCAATCACGAGGATGACTCGTCTGACAGTACAGCATCGGACAGAAGATGCAAAGTATGTGCAAAGACTTTTGAAACTGAAGCGGCCTTAAACACTCACATGAGAACACATGGCATGGCCTTCATTAAGTCAAAAAGAATGAGTTCAGCTGAGAAGTGATCAGGTTATTTGGGACGCAGAAATCTCTCTCCACATTGGAATACTAATGACATTTTTGCTACAGAAAGCTCAAGGTATAATAGTGTTAACAGTACTGTTCAGGCTGTTGCAATATATTCTGCATAAAAGTGTCCCCTTCACCTCATTGTCTATACCCTCAAAACCATTGACACAGTATTTCAGTTGAAAAGAGTTTGTATATATTTAAGCTAATAACTTTTATACTCTTTGTTATGTGTTTGTATTGGTATCTAGTGGAAAATTTGGGTTTTTCTGTTTTGTTTCTGGTTTTATCTAGTAAGTTTCTTTAAAGCAGAGTTCTGAATGCTGGGGCAGTTCCTTAGGTTCTCTTAAACTGTTCGTATTTGAATGCTTCTGAAAGAAGGTTTAGCTAATGGAAGTGCGTCAGAAGGCAGTGGTTGGGGGGGAGTGAGGAGGGGAAGATTTTAAATTCTAAGAACTTGTGCTTCTAAATGTCTAAGGAAGCTTTTCAACTTTCTCTTAACAATGTATATTAAAAAAAAAAAGCAGTACCACTGCATGTGTAAAATGCAGTGCTGATTTTAGGTGGCAACACCACAGAACAGGTGCTGACCCCCTAGAATGATAAAGTACTTTTGAAAAGTATAATTGCACAACTCTCTGTATCATGAAGTGATTTTTTTTTTTTTTTTTTAGGCCATCAGGTGCCTGTGGTCAAAGCTCAAATTGTTACAAAAGGGCTGGACTGCTCTGGATTTAACAAATAAGATGTAATTAGAGGAATAGGTTTATAATGACGATGTTTTTTGTCATGTAATTTATTAAACATTATACAGAAGTGAGTACACAGCATTATGTATTTTCCTTTATTTCTGGTTACTGAAAGAAAATAGTTAACCCTTGCTACAGGGGCTGGTATTTCCCAGCTCTGTACGCTAATGCCAAATGTTCTGGTGCTCAGTGTCATGTACAACCACAGCTATCAAGAAGTGAACACACCAGCCTACGTCAGTGTAACTGGGCTTTCAGCTTTAGCACAGACCACGTGAAGCTCGTTCAGCCATTTCAGACACGTACCTGATACCGCTAGTTACGCTGTCACGAGGTACAGAAAGGTACCGTACTGTCCCTTTCATATATAGTTCTCTGTGAGAGTTATATTTTTGGTTTGGTTTTGCATTTTATACCTTGTATGTATCCCTAAAAAAAAATTTTGTACTTTTTTTTAAAACAAATTGTGTATATATAGATAGCTGCATGCTATACAGTAGTAATTGTTCGGTTCCTTAAAAGTCTTGCTGCTGTCAGATGTTACTATACACTATGTCCATTACAACTGTATTAAACACATTTCATATGTAAATAAATGTGGAGCATTTTGCCCCTAAAGATTTGTGAGATTCTGTTATTTATCATTAAATTTTAACAGTTTGAAAAATGGAAGTGTTTGAAAAAATACAGATCCTTCTTAGCCACCCGTGTAAAACTTCTTAATCACTCTGGAAATTGTGCATCAGATACATAAGTTCTGCTTTCTCCCTTCATCCTCATTCTTAATTTGCTTCGTTGGTAAATGCTTGTTATCCCATTTATATTACTCGCATATTGAGTGGTTATGAGGTACTTCTCCACCCTAAACCATACACCTGGCGTCGCAGGGTCTTCGTGTGTAATGTACACTGGCCGTCACTGCCCTTTCCATTAAGTGTATACCTCTTGAACACTTGTTTGTTGATGTGCACTGTCAACTGTACAACAAATGAGTTATCACTATGCAGAATGGTGTTTTGTATACAGTGAACAGATAATAAAAGTTACATTTTCACAGCCAGTATTAACACTTACGTTTATTTTCCCTTTTCACTGTCTTGAAACCTGCAAGGGATGCCGCGAACTCGTAACTTACATCAGGGTTGGTGCTGCCAAAACACTGAAAGTTACTGACCAGTCATCTGAAAGCTGTTGGGCACGGTGTGGAATTGCCCTGTGGTCACAGCCCACTCCCCAGGTCAGAGGTAACATGGCACAAGCTCCCACACTGCCCTTGTCCCCTATGACCGGCACTGGTGTCCGCATGGGAGTTGGCTTTGCCACAGCCCCTGTGTAGAGCTCAGCTGCTTCGCAGTGGGCTCTCCGTTCAGTTTTAATTGGAAGATCAGTTTAACTCTCCTAGTAATCTCTTGAAAGGTTTAAGGGATAGTGGGTCTTGAGCTGCCCCATAATCTCTAGACACGTTCCTGTGTCAGAGCTTGTGCACACCTGGGTATGGTAGGAAAGCGTAACTTCTCCTCTGGGTCAGTGGCTGTTTTTGACAGGCAGGAATCCAGTCAACTACGTGAAGCGGGGAGGAGCTCTTCTGAGGAGCGTGGCTTTTTGCAAACACCAGACTTTGCGGGGGGGGAAGAAAAAAAGGATTTAGTGGGACAATTAGTGACATGTTGTTTCTCACCTAGTATTTCTTGCCTAATCCTCCAGCTCCTCCAGATGCTGGGGAGTTTGCTTCTGTATCTTCTGAGTAATTCAAGATTCCTAGATACGAGTTACAAAAAAGGCCTGTTGGGCACCTCTCTTTCCAGGACAGATCTCCAGTGTCCAAGCATTACTCCAGGAGTGATGCTTCTGCTTGGAAGCTGGTCTTGTCCAAGCAGAGGTTTCCTGGTTGTGACCAGCCTGTTTGTTTATTGCTATTTCACTTGACCTTGGGCAAAGAAAATTTCACATTTTATTTGGCTGACCGTTTTAAAAATCACAGCACCTTTGCTGCTCAAAACCCCTGGGTGTACATTTGTCATGGTCCTAAGTGTGCTGGTCTCGTCTCCCTGCCCACCCAGCTCTCAGGGCACACGTGCTCATCAGACAGAAGAGCAGTAGTGGCCCCAAACACAACACGGGCACGTTGGAAGTGTAGTGCCTTATCAGTGAACTAATTTTTTACTGACTCAGAGGGTGGCTCATCATCTCGCCCTCTCTGCGCCCAGCAGCTGGTTTGGTGGAGGTTTCACTTTGCTGGAGCAGAGGCTGAGCAGAGTCCCACTGCTGAGCAGAGGGTAACACCACCATCCTTGCCGCAAGGCGTGGATCTCAAGCAAAAGGAGTTTTAAGGGACAGCATGGTGCGATATAGCCAGCAAGGGTGGCACAGAGAAGAGAATGTGAAAGAGAAGTTTTCCGCACATTTGCGTGCCAAAGAGCCAGCAGCAAGCAGCTGGGCACTGCTACAGCATGCTGGGAACCCGAGGGGAGCTGCTGGAGAGCTGCAGTAAAGGGAATAAAAAGAAATGAGCCTGTGGCCTCTCCTCCGTTTCCACCCCGGCTGTTTGGTTGTGCAGGCTGAAAAGGGCATAGCTGTGAGCTTAAAAGCACAGATTGGCTTCCAGGCTTTCTGCTGGGGCACAGCCTGAGCAATAGCAGTCACGGCTGCTGTTCAAGTTAAAGCAGCTTCAGGCCAGCGTATGTTTGCTGGGAGTTCAGGGGTTCTCCAAGGAAGAAAGCCCTGCCTTACAAATTCTCTGGAGAAGCTCCTGAAAGGTGGGAATGGGAGGAAGCACAGAAGTGACAGGAAGGCAAATCTCCTTCACAGCGTGCAGCAGGACCCCCATCAAAGGTAGCTCGTTATACTTGGCCCTCTGCAACAAGCAAACCCAAACCACCAGCCCCAGCTGCAGCCAGGTGCTGGCACGGAGACCAGTCAGGCCGAAGCAGTGAGCAGATGGGGCTGGGAGACCCAGGGAGCCCAACAGTGCTGCAGCAGCCACCCGGGAGCCTCCCAGTTCCAAGTGTGCTCAAGGCACTGAGCTTCCTCTGCCATTGCAAATGCCCCAGGGATCCCTGGAAGACAGGGCACTCTCCCATCTGCACCGCCTATGTGGAGCTACACGTCCAACAGGTCTTCCTAACAGGAGGATGATTTCCTGAAGACCAGGAGGTGAACAGCACATTGTAAAGCAATGTGAGACACCAGTGAAAAGGCAAAAATTTCAGTTTGCATGCCTAGGGGAATGATTTCCTCTCATAAACTATAAACATATTTTTACGTGAGATCTGACGTTTGAATTGTTTGCTTTTAATTAACATTGTGACACTGGCAATCAGTTACAATTATGACATCAATACTCCTCTTTTCTTTCCTTTAACAGCATTGAGTTAAACCTCATGGAACCTCTCTGTGAGGTAGAAAAGGGATCATTTAGCCTCCACTGTTTCACAGCCAATTTTCGGTTGAACGCATCAGTACTTAACATTGCACATCAACTCTAGCAAGCCAGTTAGAACCGAAATAGTAATTAAGGCTTCAGGGAGCACTTAGGTAGGCAGAACAAAGCATTAGTGTCAGGTCTGGGGTTAACATGCGGCTGCGTCACTCTACTCACCCTGTACAAAGGCAGGGATTTCTGATCTCCATGGAGGCAGCGCCTGACAGGTATATGTGTGTGTGTGTTACATATATATATAAAAATATCTATTTATCTATATATAGATACATCTCTTTTTCCATTGCATGCCTTCCCATTCAATCACTTCCATTCTTCAGCAAGGCAGGGAGCTCACTGAGACCTCTTCCAAAATGCCCATCTACAGAGAAACTGCCTGACCAGGACTACAACCACCCATTTGGGCACACAGCAACTGTCCGACCAGAGCTGTGCTCCTCAGCGGTGCTGCCAGTCCCACCTCTCCCGCCCAGGTTCAGCTGCCCAAGGCATGGGCACCGCGTGTGTGTCCCCAGGGCGCTGGGCAGCGCCCGCAGCCAGGCTGAGCGGTCCGGGGCGGCGGATGACAGGGTCAGGCCAGCAGGGAAGGTGTGGGAAGGGCCACCATCACCGCCACCCTGCACAAGGCTCGGACCCACCTGCCAGCGTGGCCTAAGCAAAACCAGTTTTTTACCTGCTAACATTGGCTAACACTGGCAGGGCTGCATGGTCAAACGTCCCCCCTCAGCTGCCTTTAGCCGATGGAAGTGTTCTTGAGTGTTAAAAACAAAGCTTTCCAGAGTGGGCGAGCGCTCTCCACTGTTGCCTTTCATGGTGTACCGAGGTCCTGGGGACAGGTTCGTCAGGGCTGGCTGTGGTGGGTGCAGGGGTCACCCCGGAGCAGCGGGGCACAGGCAGTGCCTGCCTGCCACACCACCTGGCTCGGGTTGTCCTCAGGGCTGTGCGCGTGTGGGGTCTTGGGGAAATGGCATGGAAACATGTCGGTGAGGCTGACGTGTGGGAAAAAAATGACAGTTTTGAATGCATCTTCACAGGGACACCACTCACTTACCAGCAGGAAAGTAACAGAAAACGACAGCATGGGAGTTTACAATAGCCCAGCGAGGCAGCATGGAGCTGTCCCTTCGCATTGTGCATGAGGTTGTACTGAGACACTCTCCAAAACATTCAATTTGCCAGCAACAAAAATGCCCTTGAGAAAGGCTCTGAGAATGGCAGGAACAATGAGCAAGGGGAAGTGGGACACCAGGTCAGCCGGAGCAGCCTCGTTCTGTGCAATCAACCCCACATGAAGCAGAACGATCTG